GTGAAAAACTTTTTTGTTTCAGCGGTGACCTAGCATTTTTAGTGGCTTTATTTGAAGGACCATGAAATGTCCCTTCTGCTGACATGCGCAAGAGTAAGTGTCGCGATAACCTTTTGACCCTCACAGAGGAGAGTTAGAACTTGGATTTGTTGACTGTCTGTTAGAAATGAAGTTTGACTGCCGCGCGTTTGCTAGTAGAATCCTATACATGCCTGGATCGTATGAGGCCCTACAATGTCACAGTGAAATTCCAAAAGCTAAATTTGGTTAAGAAGGTGTATGTTCCTTAAATCGTATAATTGGCTATTGTCATGTCCTGTACTGTCAGTAGTTACAGGTAAACGTATGCACTGCCAGTGGCTGCTGCCAGTGCATGTGTTGTGCAGTTTTGCCTGCCCTTAATCTGGTTACAGGTGGCAGCTCTCTATTGCATTTAGCAGCCTGTAGGGCTTGCGTAGGTAAATGGATGCAGTGCTTACCTATTCTGGCTTGCAAATAGCTTGTTGCTACTACGTATGATGGAGCTTCCATCTATTAAATCTGAAGACATTAAAACGTACGTCTGCTCATCGTACGGAGCTTCACCTTTCATACCGGATGCCCAACGAACATTCTTTTCGAGAAGTTCCTGATACATCCCTGCTGCATTCCACTGTTTCGCTGTGTATGTGAACATCATTTGGGGACTACAGCTCGCGGGTGTTACTAGAATCCCGACCACTCCACACAGAGTCACCGCCAGTAGACGTTAGATGAGCGCTGTCGCTCTCGGCACTTGTTCATTCATTCATTAATAATAAATTTTCAGGATAGGTCAGAAATGGGTAACTTAGAATTGATTACATTTTGGTTGGTGATCGGCATCCATTAATTAATTAATTAATTAATTTAATAAAATTTCCAGGATAGGTCAGAAATGGGGTAACTTAGAATTGATTACATTTGGTGTAATCCGGATTCCAATTAATTATTTAATTAATTAATTAATTAATTAATTTTTCCACTTAATCTAATTAATTAATTAATAAAAAAATTTACATTGAGAGAATTCAGCTGCCTTGGCGGAGGTCTGCTGCCTCGAGTGGCTCTAGTTGTATACTTGCATCATCTCCGTTCGTGACTCTTTTTTTGTCTTGTTAATACACTCTGGCATAAGTGAATATAGGGAACCTGAAATATACTTGCAGCTGATGTGCAAAGAAAGCCGTTTGCATGGTGAAACATTTAGTTCAGGCCAGGTCAAGCTACTCTAGCAGTTCGGAATTTCTTATATCTTTGTAGATAACAATTAAAATGTTTGATGGAAATATATATAGTATATAAATTATAAATATCTAACAAGTGCTTCCGAAATAAGCGTTGTCCGGTGTCGAGACAACCAGGAATTTGCGGCCGCGACACCTAACCAGTCTGAGACATTGTCCGGGTGGACAAAGAAAAAAGCACTTCTATTTATATTTTTTCTGACTATGTGAACTTGAATTTCTTTTGGCTGTCGCATCGGCCTGCCCATTAGGTCCATAGCTATCTAACCCACTCGTTAACCTCATAGCCTAACCCTACACTGAACTCTAACCGACTCGGCTAGGCTTATATTACGCGTGTTATACTTACCAGTTAATATATGGTGTAAACCTTTTGCTTTTTCAATATTTGCATCATGACTGACAAGCAATCCCCACCAAGCTGGTGTAGGCACTAGGGCACAATTTAATGTTCATTTTCATTACTTCAGAAATCCGAGTGTTTTCTAGCCTCATCAAGAAATCTAATCGTGGATTAAATCGTGAAATAATATAAAAATATGGGACCAGCTGCCCCCGATTTCCAACACTGGTATATGTCAGGTTTGTCTGATTTATGAAAGGTTAACTTCAATGTGGCAACCAGCCTCAAACCAGCAAGTCTTCCAAAAAATTTTTGGTGGTTAGGACCCCCATACCCCGCCTGTTTGTTACCCCCCCCTCCTCGGAATCCTACGACGCCGCTTCAAACAATTATAGTATCTTTGGAGCTGAGAACAATGAACAAAAATGTCGCCTTTTCGCCATGGCCGTCAAAACAAAGGATTGCGCAGAGGTTGAGAGGTAGAGGAGCCATAGGGTGTGGAGAGGGAGGCGGAGGAGCCAGATTAAAATATTAAAGTCATCCACTATTTTGCGCAGTTCGCTGTTTTTGGCCCCTGCTAAAAAATCCTGCTACGCCACTGTTTTGGGGGTGTTTTCTGATCATATTATTACTGTGATTGAAATAGGAGATTTTGGGCTGATATTTCTTTCTTGGACACCGACCAGAAATTGATTGCGACCATACCTGGAATCGTTGATGCTTGGGTGGTTGTTCGCAGGACAACGCACATTTCCTTTTGTCTTATTTCGAGCACTGTCTAACTGGATCATGTTAGTATTTAACATCTCTCTCTCTCTCTCTCCCCCTCTCTCTCTCTCTCTCTCTCTCTCTCTCTCTCTCTCTTCCGTCGACTCTCTCTTCTGCTTCTTCGTCGCTCCTCTCTCTCTCTCTACCCTCTCTCTCTCTCTCTCTCTCGCTCTCTCCGGCTCTCTCGCCTCTCTCCGCTCTCTCGCTCTTCTCTCTCTCTCTCTCTCTCTCTCTCTCTCTCTCTCTCTCTCTCTCTCTCTCTCTCTCTCTCTATTATGTATATATATACATAATTAGATAAAAAGTATAGTCGAGGAAAAATCTTTTTCGACAGAAGCTCAAGTGTATGAATTCATATTTATCTTGTGTTAAACCCAAGAAATTAACTTACTATCGAAATTTTCGAGTAATTCTAGTAAGTTAAATAAAATAAAAATATAATAGTAAGTGAATTTCTTGGAGATTCTTACACAAGATAAATATGAATTCATAGTTTTCAACGAAATCCAATGAACTTATTTCATTCAGAAGCTAAAGTGTTTGCTATAAATAGAACAGTACATAGTTCAGATGGCATGATGATGGGCTTTATATGCTGCGAGCAAAGAGAACAATCATCACATGTAGCATTTGTAACAAAATCCCTTTTATTTTACATCAAAGTAAGTAGGAAAAAGTAAAACAACAAATTATTCCAAGAAAACCTAAAGTCACAATGTAATTGACTCGACATTTAGTTTTACTTGCTATAACAAGACAGTTAGCTATAGAATCACTGCAACACATGTTTGAATACCAGTGAATTTGGAATGACTACTAGTACAACGATAACGAGGGAAGATAGCGTATACGTACATTAACAACTCTGACGATTTTGCTCATCTAATTGGTATCAAGTAAGGTTTTCCATACATACTG